ACCTGGCTGTCGGTGCCAGACGGGGTGGCCTTTACAGAGACCGGTCTGAAAAATGCAGAAGACCACACCTCATGTCAGCAACGAACACAAAACAGAGGCTACAGTTCACACGAGCTCACAAACAGACTGAGAAGGGTCAGGATTAAACTACAGGTGTGCACAGCATCAGGTTGGATCCATACGTATCAGCGGTTCATAGCTGAAGCACACTTTGCTCTTAGTGTTAGCTTTCTGAGCTGGGATGTGGAGCAGGAGATCGGTATGATGCTGTCATCTACAAAAGGACCAAAACCTCAGAGGAGCGTTTCCAGCTGAACGGGAACCTTGTTGAATCTTAAAGCAGTGCTGTAACCCAAACCCGAGCCCGTACTCGCTGCACTCCGCTGATTAGTGGGCGTGGTTTACTCGTCTGTGCCACGTGTCAGAAGACTTGGTAGCTCTAAGGTGGCACAGGCAGATTCTCACTGCACCCATATATATAAGTGTAGCCACGGATAGTTCTGCTCAGCCCCATCACACCTGAGTCCTCATGCTTCAGTCTTATCTGCGTCTTAGTCTATTTTTACCTTGTTTAGCTTTAATAATTGTTTTTTTTTGTTTACCATGTTTTTATTTTGTTGCACTAATGTAAGGTGACCTTGAGGGTCTTTAAAGGTGCCTATAAATAAACTGTATTATTAATAAATGTATTATCTGCAGTCTTAGAATGACCGAACCACAAACTAACAAAGGAAAATAAACTGACTACACAAAGGCGTCTGTGCCTGATAGAATATAACTAATACTGTGAGCCTAATGAAACTGCGCTGCTCGTACTAACGACAAAGTCAAAGTGTAATAAGGTCGCACACTGTGGTGGTTTCTACCTGTTGAAGTCCTCGGGGTGCTGGGTTTCTTCTCCTCTCCTGGTTTGCTTTCTGTCTTAGAGGCTAAAAAGAAAATGTTTAAACGTTTGTCAGTCGTGTCATTTATCAACACGATAAATAAACCGAGTGTAAAGAAAGCCGCACACATACCCAGAGGCTTTTTGGCTGCAGCAGTGGTAGTGGTGCGAGTAGATCCTGCCGTGCGCACTGGTGCAGTGGTTTTACTGGCTGCTGTGGCAGCAGACGTGCTTCTGCTGGTAGAACCTGTTTGATTTGAGGCAGCAGTGCTGGACTTTGTCACTAGGGGGCGCTTCTCTGTTGTTGTCTGAAAAGAAAGAGAAAAATAAATCTGGGCGAGGTGATATGTCATCCAGGAAGAGAGAGAAGCAGCTAATGAATATGGGCAAGCATCTGCGGAGGGATGTCAAATCAACAAAACAGGCAGCAGCAAATTAGGTCACAAAGCATCTTCAGTGTGCCTGGATGTTGTGATCAGTCCAGGCAAATGTTCGCTGAGATATTCAGGTCAA